TTTTGTGAAAAATTAGCATATTTTAGAGCATAAGGGAAAACTTTGTGCAAAATGTTGTTACAAAGGCACTGATTCCAGTCTGCCTGGTGGCTGCTTTCACATGGGTGTTGGGCCAGAGAGCACTCCAAGGAATGGGAGCCAAACCCAAAAGCTTGGCCCCGAGAGAGAGACTGCGAAAAGCATCCTGAAATTCAGGTGTTTACAGAGGTCTCGAGCAGTGCAGATGGTCATCTCAGCTCTCAGAGCATGCCCTGTGCTGGGTTTGGCTTAATTTTAATTAATTTTAGCTTCTTGGGTTTTTCCAGGCCTGCTTGCATGGGTTATGTCACAAGTGGTGACTCTCTGGAATCAAGAAGATTCCAGATTGGTGTGGGAAACACCAATTTCTGTACAGACCAGGAAGGTGAAAATAGTTGTGGCTGCAGGTGCCAGTGATGCCAGGGTCTGTCTCCCAACATGTTATGGCTACCATTGCCTTTCAAATTCCAATTGGATGAATTGCCTCCAGCTTCCTTGATGTTGCCTTTGGAGTTTCAGCTGGTGCCAGGATCTTTCCTGCGCTCTCTGAATGTCCTGCATGGCTCCTGTGATACCTCAGACGAGTATCTCATCACACGTTGTGAAATTCTGGCAACACTTGCCAGGAGGAGGAGGAAGCTGCGCTTAAGAGAAGGGTCTTTGGAAACCTACTGAAAAGTTGCAACATTTCCAGATAAAATCATAATGGGGCCAGACCCCTGATTGATGCAAATCTGCTTACGATTGCTGACGTAAATAGGAAAATATTGATTTACATTAGCTGAGAGTCTGGCTGGTGGAATTAAAAGAAAATAAAGGATTTAGGCTCTAGTGATGCTGATCCCTTAATGTAAGCACAGACTTTCACCCAAGACGGCATCTTTGTTAATGTGTAACCGAGGAGTGCCCCAGGGTCGGGCCTGTGCAGTCCCTGGGCCCGGTGCTGCCTCCCACCCCTGCAATCCGGGCACACTCGTGTGCCCTTTAATTAAATCCTGCATTAGCCCTTCCACTTGTGAGCCTTGGCCTGAGTGCCTGTGCTTCAAAGGAATATATTGATTTGTATGAGTTGAGCAGTTGGCCTTTTCTTACCGTGTACTTCTGTGCATTGAAGTTGTGCTTTAGAAAACAAGCTGTCGTCATAGCCATGAATACTTCAACACTGGCCAGGAAAAGTTGTTCTAAATAATATGGGGGATTAACTTAAAGGCTGTGCCAGGAAAAAAAATGAACAGGACAGTTGGGATTAATGGTAGGAATGATGTATAAGGCTTTTAGGATTTTCTTTTTTTTTCTTTTTTTTTTTTTTTTTTAAAATTATATAGAAATTCCCACCCTATTTTTAATACTGAGTAGGCCATATTACTGGTACATATTTTTAATACGTGGTAGGCTGAAGTAGCTTGGGTGCCTTGTGCTGCAGTTTGTGCTGTTGTGCTTGGAGAGCTCGATAGCTGGTGCTGCTGTCAAAACCTGTGAGGAGCCTCCAGGAGCTGCGGCCTGGGCGCCATGGGACAAGACATCACCGTGCTCTGCGTGGCCTTGCCAGCTATGAAACCAAAGGGGTTGTGCACAGCTCATTCGGAGCACCCTTGGGTGCCTTAGCAGGGATGGCCCTCTGCTTCCCTCTCTCTCTGTCTCTCTCTCTCTATGTCTCTCTCTGTCTCTCTCTCTCTTTTCTTTAAATCTATATTCTACTTTCCTGTCTCCTATCTCGAGGACGAATCAGCGTCCTTGTGCCCTGGCTGAATATCATGAGCTTGTCTTTCCTCAGGTCCCTGAAGCTGCTCAGGTGTAAAAGGCGCCTTCAAAAGACGGGCAGCCCCAAGGAAATTAGTGCTCTCTCCTCTTCCAGACAAACGAGGGCAGCCGAAACATCTGCCTAGGAGCCTGTGGGAGCTCGGAGGAAAGATGTGGCTCGTTTGCCCCTGTTCTCCCCACAAGGCGTAGCAAAGAGCTGCTGCTTCTGCACCAGCGCGGCCCAGGGTCCATCTAACTCAGTTTGGGCCATGCTGGTCCTAGCCCCAGGAACTGAGGCCTCCCCTGTGTAGCGTGTTAGATACCTGTGTGGTGCCTTAAGCAAGTTAATATTGTCCCAGCCCTCTCAGCATTTCTGCAGGATGATTTTTGTGCCAGTGCGTTGGCAAATGTCACACTAACATACTCCTTTTACCTTTAAGTATAGGAGGCAAGTTTGAGTTGAGTAGTAGGCTTAGCAAAACAGCAGGGGGTTATATGGTGCTCTGGTTTAGGCTGTGTTAAAATAGAAAACTATGAAGCCTCTGCCTGTGTTTGCTCCAGCTTGCAGTCCCCCGCTGCCTGCTTATTTAAGATCAGAGCTGTCTTGTTTTCCAGGTAGGCCAGAGAAAGCTGCCTGAAATAGTAATGACTCTTTGAAGGAGCAACGCACGCGACAGGCTCACAGGCTGGTGCCACCACATCTGTTATTGGCAGAAATCCCAACCTGGGAATAATGAGCGAGCCCTCGGTGTCTGTTTGGGCTTCTCATTTCCTCGTGGAGCCCGTGATTGGGCTGAGTGCAATAACACGGTGGCCTTCTGAGGTGCCTGCATCAGAATTATTGGTTTCATCAGCTCGGGGAGCAACTGGATAATTGGGCACACCTGGGACTATCCTGAAGGGCTTCCTTAGGCTTAGAGAACATTTTCTAGCTGACCTTGATGAAGTGTGGGTCATTGAAAGCCAAGTGATGCAGACTGGATCAGAGCACTTGGCTTTGTGGCCTGTTTAGAGTTCCTGAGAGCTTGGGCTTACCAGTTGCAGAAGGGAGCCCCAGGGGTGGAGAAAGCATCAAGTTGTCTAAAAGTGATGCAAGGGTTTTCTCATGGGGCACACGGTGCTGTAGGTGAGCATCAAGCCCCAAGATACTTGCAGGAGATTTACCCACATATTTTCCACCTTCTGATGCGTAAGTGACTGCTTCTTGGGGCTTTCTCGGCAAATTTTAGCATGCCCTGTGCTCAGCTTGCATCTCATCATCTAAATTAAATGTGTTTAGCTCTATATTTTTGAAACAGCTAAGGCTTTATAATGCCTTAGTCAGCATGCTCCCGCAGTCTAATTTCTTAGACATTGCAATCATAAACGCGTCATTTATTGTGAAATAAAAATAGCGTATCTTTAAACATGATTCACATGGTTTTAGCTACTTGGTCGTCCTCAGCTGGCCAGGAGCTGCATAGCTCTGTAAAGCCTCGTGTATCTTGATAGGCTTGTGCCCATACAGGCAAGATTTTGAGATTCACTCACAGTGATGCAACAAAGAGCTTGGGTTTGTGTTGAGGAAATCGAGTAGGTCGCTGAAAGAAGCGCTAGCGAAGCCCAGAGGGGTCAGGGTTTGTGGAAGATTCTCCCGACTGTCCTGTGTTGAGGATCCTTGCCGCGGGTCTCCTTTGCTGCTGCTTCTGGGCGCTCCGACGTCGTTGTGTCCTGTGTGTGCTTGCTGCAGGAGGGATCGTCATGGGAGTATCGGCTGGCAGAAGAAGAATTTTCCATGGGTGTCTTGCATGGCAGAGGGGAAATAGAGGCCTTGCTGGCAGCAAGCAGGAAAGCACATCTAGTGTGGCCCTGTCCCCTCCTGAGGGGCAGCGTGGCAGAACAGCCGGCCGGGAACCGGGTGACGCCTTCCTGGTTCTTCCCCTTTGCTCTGGAGCGCTTGGGTCAAGTGTTGGCTTCTCTGGCATTAGCGTGGGGATAATTCCAGGCAGGCCAGTGCCAAGTGCTTTGAGGTTCACTGGTGAAAGCCCTGTGTACAAGCATGTTATTAAAAGGGCTAGCAGTCCATCTCCTCTCTTCTAAAGCCTCTAAATGTAGTGGTTGGGATCTAATGAGGAAAATCTATTCCGGTGTTTTAATCATTTTCCTTCTGCTGCCTCATACCTTCCCATACTCTTCCTTCGCTGGAGATCTTCCAAACCCGCCTGGATGCCACCCTGTGCCCCCTGCTCTGGGTGTCCCTGATGCAGCAGGGGGCTTGGACTGGTTGATCCCTAGAGGTCCCTTCCAACCTCAGCCAACCTGTGATTCTGTGACATTTACCTGGCTGCTCTCCTTCCCTTGAGGTGCCTGTGCGTGAAGGAACGCCAGTGTTGTTTTTGTTCTGTTGGTTGTGTCTATCCCTAAAAGATGTAGTTTATCCCCACACAATTTATGTGCCTGATATAGAAGCTGCTGTATGAGGTTCTTTGTGTTATGTGGGAAGTCAGATCTGATTATTTTAGTAAGTACTTTTAGCCTTAGAGTTTGGAATTTCTAATAGATCCAGGACCTCTTGGTTTTCTCTCAGTCTATACAAGGGAATGATCCAGAAAGCAGTTCTGTCAGTGCTAAATTAATTTGTATGAAAACCCATGATTTAAAGCTGTGGAGCCCAGAGCCTCTCCCCTCCCTTTTTTTTTCTAAATTGAAATGGGAGTTATTGATTAAATCAGCACAAACTATAATAAAACTGCAAGACATCACACCATTATACTGCTTTACACATGTATTTTAAAGCACGTGTCTGGCTGTGCATGCCAGTATTTAGTCCTCTGAGCTTTTATAGCCTTTAGTAGGAATGTTACTACTGATTTGTTGATGCACGTGCTGTGACTTGTGGCGGTTTGTGATTGATCCCTTATATTGATTTGCCAATTTTGGTGAGTTCTTACAGTTTGAGGGTCTTTTTTTCCTTCATTGTAATTTGAGGCAGTGTTTGTAAATGGAACAGGGAAACGCAGCTAGGCAGCATCGCATGACTTTCTGTTCAGTACAAATATAAGAGCATCAGTGCCGAGCAACCCAGTCCGTCTCATCAGAGCATCCATTCAAAAGAGTACAGAGGATACTGCTGCACATTAGGTAGCCTGTATTTTATTCTGATGTTTGCACATGTGCAGTTCACCTCCCTTGTGAGTCATTCCTCTAAAATGAGGGTCGCACCGACCAGTCTTTTAAAACGTGGCTCCCCTTTGTCCTCGCAGGTGAAGCCCGTCACTCACAGCAGAATCAACGTGTCGGCGCGGTTTCGAAAGCCCCTTCAGGAGCCCTGCACTATTTTGTAAGTAGAATTTGTGGTTAGGGAACTGCCTGGTGTTCTCTTGTCCTCAGGTGAGTTTGGCTTAAAGTGCTCCTCCAAATTATTTAACTTTGCTTTATTTCAGCCTGATTGCTAATGGAGACCTTATCAGCCCCGTAGTGCGCCTCCTCATTCCCAGGAAAACGCTGAATCAGTGGGATCACATTCTCGAAATGGTTACAGAAAAAGTTACCCTCAGAAGCGGAGCCGTACACAGGTATCGGGGAGTTCAGTATTCGTAAGGTACATTTCGTGTGTAGAGTCATGTGCCTAAATTTTCAAAAGCTGGTATGGGGAATCCTTCCTGCTGCATAGGACATTTCAATATAAGAAAAAAAATCACCAAGGAATGGAAATCCAAAGAAACGTTGACTTCGAAGTGTTTCATTTTAACTGTGGTCAGAATAAAATAAATGAACACTGAGGTCAAACAAAATGAAAGTTTTTATTCAGAAAATATATCAACAATAGATACAATCCGTGTTACCTTTAAATTTGACAGTTTTTCTATTCATTGGGGCAAACAAGCCCAGAGAAGATGTTTTAGACCCTTTGGTGGTTTGAAGACCTGTGCTCTGATGTGCACGTGCTCTGCCGGCAACGGGCTCAGCCTCTCATCAGGACCAGGCCCAAAGTTACCGCTTGGGACTTGCCCCTTCCAGTGTCTTCGCTGGTCTCAGTTCTTGTCACATCCCAGAGATTGAAGACCAGCCCTTGCATAGTTTTCAGTCATGTAAGGCCTTAAAACATAAAGTGAACACTCTACAAGAAGATCTATCCACATGTCGACTGTGGCAGGTTTCAGAGCTCGGGCGGGCTGCCAAGGTGCCTCCCGACACGCTCCGGACACCCCGGTGCTTCCCGGTGCAGAGGGTGACACAGGACCCCGTTCCGCCCATGGAGAAGCACTTCCCCCAGGGAATCGCTCTCTGTGGCTCGCTGCAGGTCCGAGGCAGAGCCTGCAGCACCTGTCCCAAATCAGTGCAAACCAGATAAACTCCCTCAGTTCTTCTTACTGCTTTCTGTGAGCGATCCAGTCCGTAAAAGGTTAAGGGAAGGTTGTCTCTTGCCCACCAGCTTTCATCTCATTTTATTCTCTCGCAGCCCCACACCCCTTTGCTCATCCTGGTGGGTTATTTAGCACTTGTGCTTACAGTAAAGCAAAACTAAATGTGTGTTGATGCTTTCTGCATCTGCTGCTTAGCTTGGGTAGTTCTGAAGTGATTCGAGTCATGGCTGCTTACAACAAACCAATGCTTTCTGTTCCTGGGTTGCTTAGGAATTCAAAAACCTTTCATGTTTGATTCTCATTACTTGATATCACTCTTTGGTGAAACGGAATGATGTACATGGAAACATCATTCTATACAAAGTTAGGATTGCTCTTGAGAAGCGCTCTTCGGTGTTTATTTTTTTCCTTTTAAAAGCAAGATAACGTACATGACACTTTGAATTATTTAATGTTTTCCATTTCTGGTTTCCTATTAACCCAGTTTTCATTTTCTTTCTTTTAAAAAACTAAGAATACATATTAAATATGCTGGTAAAGCGATCACTGTTCTTTAATAAGTTACACATTAATTGCTGGGGTTTACTGAAACTCAGTGAGCATTAGAGGAGATCCCACAAGCCCACTGATGCTGGGAAGATATGATCTCTCAATAACCAAAGAAGAATGGAATTACAGGAACTTACAGGGCGTACACAGCATTTTTTTTATTATTTTCCATGCCATTAGATGACATACAAAGCTGCCAAACTTTTCATAACTTCACATGTGGCTTTCTGTGTTGTTGTTGAACCTATTGATCCTTCCCCATTAGAGCTGGGGTAGGAGGAGGTAGGAGAGAGCAGACAGCAAGAAAATAGCCCTTCTGCTTGTCAGATTGTGCATGGGGCTGGCGTGCAGCAACCTGGTCGGCTGGTACCTGGAGCCTGGAAGCCAAGGAGCAGAAGCAGCTGCCTGAACAGGCAAGCAGGGTTGGGGGGACGCTGGTCTGAGTGGTGCCCTCGTTGCCTCCTGCCTCAGCCTGTTTGGTTTCATTGATTTGGCTGCCACTTTTTGGCTAGAATGCAGGAGGCAAAGTGGAAACCCACTGATGTCCCACAGAATAAGCCCTAGATCATTGCCCAGTGACCAGAAAATACCAGCCAGGAGAATATGAGAGAGTGCACGTGGTCTCACTGTGGCCAAATGGTAGGTGGAAGGCTTCAGTCACAAGCCTGTGTGGTGCTTCTTAAGTCATTAATAATAAATTACTTGTTTGAAGTTGCATTGTTAAATGTGTTTTTAGACTCTCTTTCATCTTCAGTGGCAGATTATGTTTGATTGAGTTATTATGGTTATTATTTTCAGGGAGAAAAGTATAACCTGAGACGGCTAGATATTTGTCCATAAAGTTTTCAGGTGTTACATTAGGCAATTTTTGTGCTTTAGAACATAGATGAAGTGAAGGATGAGTTACAAAAACCCCAAATGCATGTATGCATGTATGCATGTATGCATGTATGCATGTATGCATACATGTATGTGTAGCCAGTAGAAATATGTAATACAGTTCTTAAACCTCAGTGTGCTGATCTGCCTGGGGGAGCAGAATTGTAAAGCAATCTAGCAAAACAGTGAGATTAACTCAGCAATGGGCTTTATGCTGACTTTGGATTGCTTCTTTTATCATCACTGTTTGGCTGTAGCTGATGGCATCTCTGTGGTAGGGAAACATAAATTGCCTTTTGAATTGCTGGCGTGCCTGTGAAAGGTTTGCTCGGAAAAGAAAATATGAGTATCACAGAGGAGAGCATGAGAGCTTGCAAACTTCTATGCAAGGGAGCTGCAACATGACCAAGAGTTTCCAAAGGCTTACAGTTCTCCTTGGTGAGCTTTCAGTCTTTGCACAGAGAAGACCAAGATGTTTCCGTAAGGGAGGGTGTACCTAGGAAACCACGATGCACAAAGAGGTGGACTTTTGGAAAACAAACAAACAAACACACAAAGAAACAACTTTTGTTGCGCGGTTGAACGTGGGAACAGGTTGCCCCGAGAGAGGCTGCGGAGCCTCCGTCCTTGGAGGCCGTCGGAAGGCAGCTGGACTCAGCCCCGAGCAATCTGCTCCCGCTTTGGGCACAGAGGGGCTGCACTAAGCGGCTGCCAGAGCTCCCTGCCTGCCTCAGCCTGCGGCCACTGATGGGCCTGTTGGCTGCACATCTGCTTCTTCTGTATTTATCGTCACCACTGCGCGTCGGAATGGGAGAGGTGGCATTTTCTCTGTGAAACTGAAAAAAATCTGCACCTTGCAACCCAGGGGTGTTCTCAGGGCAGGATTTTCTTCCTTGCAGGTTCACTGCATAGATCCAAGTAGCATTTTATATCTCCTTGAGTTTCGTTGAAATTTATGAATAACACATAGTTACTCCTCTAGAAATACATTTAAGATGGCCATTCAGCAATTCTCTATGTAAAGGACTTAAGTGCAAAAGTGTTAATGTTGCTTTTTTTTTAATAAATTAACTATAACTGCTGTTGCACTTTGAAATGTGTCTCATAGGAAAAAGCCTGTTTATGATTCCTCCTTCCTCATTGTTATGATTGGCCTTAAACAAAGTCACAATCTTGACAGTGAAGTGATGGGGACAACACAGAAATCCCCAGATCCCTAATGTGTTCCCTCCTTCTCAGTAAATACATACAGAGTATGAACAGAAATGGTCGTGGTAAAAATCTGCCCAGTGTAAGAGACATAATAATTTTTGATATTGTAGATGTTTAAGATGCCCAGATTATTGCTTTAATATTCTAATACATTTCCTGCTACTCTCAGCTTTACCCCACCAGGTAGAGCCAAGCTCAAACCCTTTGCTCTGTGCTACATAGCTATATAAACCCAACTTTGTGTCAGTGTTGGATGGTCTGAGGGCCCTTGTTCTTCCCGGGTTACTGATGAGTGCCCAGAGCACCCATGGGAGTAGGAACTTGGCGAGAGTGAGGCTGAGAACCCAACGGGTCAGGGAAAAGATGTTAAAGATTGTCCAAGTACAGGAAGTAATTTGTTCTTCATACTTAGCTTAGAACTGAGGAGGGTTTTTCTATGTGATAAATTGCTTTATCTTTTATTAGTTTTATGTGAATGTGATTGAGATGTGCTTTTTTCCTATGTTTTCTCTTGTCTGTACAACGAGTGGACAAGGTATGACAGCCACTGCACTTCACTGGGGTTCAAGCTGAGACATTCAAAATGATGCAGTGGGTTTGGATTAATGGAGAGCTAACATTTATTATATTAAATATTTTCATGTTTTCCAGACTCTACACTTTAGATGGAAAACTTGTTCAGAGCGGATCAGAGCTGGAGAATGGACAGTTTTATGTTGCAGTGGGCAGAGACAAATTTAAGAAGCTGCCATATGGTGACCTCCTGTTCAGCAAATCTACGATCAGAAAGCCTCAGGGGTAAGTTCTGTGTATGTGCAATACACTTGTCACATACCTGTGTGTGTGTCAGCATGCTTGCAAAGTGCAAAATCATTACCCTAAGAATGTTCATAAGGGAGGGAAGGAGGGATGGATGGATGGCTTGGTACAAATGCATAACTTCATCAACAGCGTTGAGCAAATTGGCATAGAAATCTGTGACAAAAGAGAAAATGGAAATTGAAAAGACTACTTCACCCCATAAACATGGCATTCATTCTGTATCATGAAACTAATACCAGAAGAAGGTTTTTTTGGACTTGGCTTCATTTGTTTATCCATGGATATAAAAGGAGGTAGCTGAATGAGATTAAGTATCTCCAGCAATCTGCTTCTGCTGTTGTTTTGTATTTTTTAATGGAATACATACCCCTTAAACAGCGTTTTATTTGTGTCTTTTTTTTGTAGGACAGCTTTATTGCATAATAGATTCTTAAATAAGGTCTCTGTTGGGAGAAACTTGGGCTCCTAATATCTTTGGAGAGACCTGACAATGAGACAATGTGGATAACTTAAAATAGTTTAGAAAACATTTGCAAGAAAAGACAGTGAAAAACATTGCCCAAGCATTGCTCACCAGATAAGATTAACTGACAGAGATGCACTGAAATTTGGTGGGTCAAAGTGTTTTCATTTTAATAGTTGTCAAGGTCTTTCACATAGTAATTCACTGACTACTGTTCTGAGGTCATCCATTATTTACAATATGGATGAATTGGAGGAATTTATGCATTTGTTTGAATTCCTCCAACTATATATAAATGCATAACCAGCTCAGTGGTTATGCATTTATATATAGCCTAGTGAACAAAACCAAGTGCTCTTTAGTAAAACTGCAATGGATAGCTGACATGATGCCGCCTTCAAGATGCACAGTATCTATGATAGTGACAGTATACAAATTCTAAGATCTGACTTATTTCTACAGTTCCAAAGCTTCCTCGCTACCTCCTATTGTGGGATCTCGAAAATCTAAAGGGAGTGTAAGTATCAAATACCTTAATAAAGTTTGTTTCTAGCTTCTCTTAATTCCAACAGATGGAAAGCCACTGTCCTTGGGGTTTTAATTAAGCCTGAGGAGAGAAAATACACAGCCACCTGGTGGTATGCTTATTATTGCTTGATGAATCTGTAGCTGTTTGCAGTGTCAATTAGACAAAAGCAATTCAGGAAAATATTATTGCAATAATGGCTGCTTTATTTTTATGGAGGCTTCCATAGCAGAGATCAGCTCTGCCTTGAGGTCTTTCCCACAATCCTTTTTAGTGATCACCGTGTATGTGCGTTTGTCTATTCAAAATAGGCACCTAAAGGAATAATGCCATAAAACCTATTGCAGGGAATGGCATGTCTAAATGCTTTAAGTCTGAAAAGCTCCTAAATGAGGTTCCCGTCCCAGGCATTGCCCTTTGCTCACGGTTAAAATACAGAACACGGATTTCCACTGCCTTCTGTCCTGTTTTTATATGTGTACAGAATGAGCGCACTCTGCATTTAAAATTGTTTTCAATCAAAACTATCCTTTTGCACCGGTTTTGCACAAGCGCAATTTACTCTGTGAGTAACAAGACAGCGGAGAGTCACACTCACAAGCTCGTTATAATTGTGGTAATTGACCCTGTCCTTCCACAGCGTGCAAAACAAAACCCTGCAGCGCCTAAAGCAAATAATAAAATATTCAAGTCTCTTTTCCATTCTGTTGAAATGCAGTGGAAGATAAAACATCAGTAAAGAATAGTTGCAAGTGATGTTTATTTGCTTTTATAATACAAGCTTTACAATTCAAGTGTTTTGAAAAAGAGCTCATTATTATCTGTCTTAACTATGAGAAGAAGAGACAAGAAGTTTATACCTATACAGAAAAATATTTGATATTAAGGTTTATCCCTAGGGCTTGTAATGAAAGACAGTTGCCCAAAGATTTGACACATTGATAACAAGGAAACTTCAAATTTAAGGAGGTAGGAATATGTACTGTTGCTCGCACTATCTAGTGCAACTCTTAGACCGAACTGGTACAGATCATGAAATTGTCTTTCTTTCCATTTAGTATCTACATTTCCCATTACAATTGCTTGGAAGTAACAATCTGTGTTTTGAATCTTTAGGAATTAGAAGAAGCCAAAATATGGCCATTTCCTCTTTTTTTTTTTTTTTTTTTTTTTCTTCTTTATACAGAAATGATCAATTAGAAATAGTATTTCAGTAAGTTATTTTAAATTATTTTAAAATGGCTCGGGTTGTTCATAGGGTTGCACTGCGTGAAACAACCAAGTAGGAGGCACCTACCTGCCCTTGGTGCTTTCGCCCAGCCTCCAGTGTGGGTGGCCCGGGTTGGGAGCTGCTGGCCTCTCTCCAGGAAGGAGAGAAGGAGGGAAGGAAGGAGGGAAGGAGGGAAGGAAGGAGGGAGCCCTGTGGGCAGCTGGACGGGCAGAGCAGGCTGCCTGGCCCCAGTGAGGGGCAATGGGGGGGTTGTGGCTGTGATCCCTTTCTGCAGCCTAGCAGTGGAGAAGCAGTGCTAGGTTTGATCCAGCTAATCTTGAAGTTGCAGAGAAAGGTTGGTGGAGTATTAACGATTAAAGCCTGTGCCAATTAGATAATATTTTGTTATCTTGTGGAATCAGGAAATGGATAATGAATGGAATGCCCCCATGTATACTTACAGTCAATGTCTGCTTTTGTGGCATGGGTTCCTGTGAGAGTCTCATAAGCTTGCCTGGTAGTTTTGCTTTTTCTTCTGTAAATTACTTTTGGGTCGATTGGTCTTTTTAATTTGCTGTTGTAAGTCCCTGGGAGAAGACAGAGATGGAATTTGTGGTTCTGTTTCCAGATACACAGAAGCAGAAGCGGAGGAACAGGCTGATTTCTTTGGAGGTGACTCGGAAGCGCCCTGTTTCCTGGCCCCTTCCTATGTATCCTCGTGCAGTCAGTGTCCTGCCACATGCTGACTCTCATCCCCTCCTAGACATTTTTGCCACTTAGCAGATTAATACCCTTGTCTCAATTGCTCAGGCAGTGAATCTTTCACAAGTCACACACTTTATTCATATCTGGTGGCTTTCTACACATATACATAAATGAAATATATGCCACATACACAGATTAATCTAATGTTTCTTTTTGTTAAAGGAAGCATGTTTTCTTGTAATAAATGCATTATTTTCTCTTGATAGTTGTTATATGGTCTGACTGATTAAACAATTATTAACCTCAACAACTTGACCAGACAGTGCAGTTTTCTGGATTCTTTTAGATTTCCTTTAAGTGTACTGATTGTATTTTTTTTTTAAATACCTGATATTAAACCTTAGATATTAAAAATCTGAAGTAATATGACATTTAGAAAGAAAATTGTTCATATCCATCAGTGATTAACATGACCAATTCTTTCCAGGGAAATGATCGACAATCTAAATCTACCACTGGATCCAGTGACCCTGGAGAAAACAGTTCCTCGCCTCAGCCTCCAAAAAGGAAGGACAAAAGAAGCCAGAAACAAGAGGAGCCTCACTTCTCCAGCAAGTCTGCAAGAGTGAAACACACAACAAGAGTAGCAGCTTCCACAGCAGTCCTTCAGGATAATGGTAAGTATGGAGATATTTTTTTTTATAGCATAGTGATTTTTGAATTTCCTTTAAACTGCCTGGAAAAATATACTAGTGCAGTATATTGAATTGTCCATTTACTTTGGCTGACTTAATTTGTAAGAGTAGTTTTTGCCTGGTGAATGTACCTACGCACCCGTCCATTTACATACAGCAGGAGATGCTGTTAATACTCCTTAGAAGTTAAGTGAACTAGTACAGTTGTATCCTCATGCTTTTGATGGAAGTTTAATCTGTAGAAAATACATTTTGACCGTTTTGCCACTTTTCGTACTCTAAAACGGTGTAGAAAAAGAACTGCTCTGTTCAAAGGGCCCCTCGCCCTCTCTGAGGGCCCTGGCTGCCTGCCTGGTTCTGTGCAGCAAAGTGACCAAGCCCTGCAGGAACAGTGTGAGCACCCAAGTCCATCAACCAGCCCCTTCAGAGGCTCACCATGCAGCATTGCTGCTGGAGGCATTTGCTGATTTTCTCTCCCACCAAGCCAACAATTGAGAAATTTAGTCAAAAGTGTTTTCTTTGAGACATTGCTTGTCTTATCCTGTGATGGGATTTCTTCTCTGCACCCTGACCTCTTTTAATGGCTGGAAGACTGTCCTCCAACTGTGGATGTTGCGCTTGTGCCAGGATGGCTATTTTCTTCTCATTAGCAATTGTTCAAAAAGTCACAGGGTAACTAATATCTGTCAGTAGAAATATATTATGCTTTTCATAGCATTTGACATTTTTTCACACAGCTAGTTAAGTGTTAATTATTAAGTGTGTAGTAACCAATTATGGCTTAAAACATGGGAATGCTGCACCCAGCAGCATGCGTTTGTGCATCTGTGTTTGGCTGGAATAGTGAGTTGTAAAATGTACGATTGTACTGTCTGAGGCAGGGGAACATTTGTTAGTCTCAGTTTTAAAAGGCCAGTGAAGTACAATATAGAATCTTCCGTAATATCATGCCTTTATTTAAAAAAATTTTAGAAGGCTTTTTTGGGTTGTTTTAGTGTTGATCCAAATACCATGCTGTCCTTTTGTTGATAAGTTGGCATAATTTTAGCCAACTTGTTTTGAGTCTAGTGTTTTTTCTTGCTGAAGAATGACAGTTATATTATAATGAAAGTGAGGGGAAGCAGCGATCTCCTTTATAACTCATTAAATCACTAAATAGCAATGTAGTTCTTTTTCTAGATATTATCACAGTACAGTCTTGGGTTTTTTTTTTCATCTGCCAGTAGGTAACTCTGGGAAATGCAAGTGCAAGTTTCCTTAAGAGAGCTCTAAATTCATATCCGATCTCATCTTCTGTCCAGGGTATGGCACTGCTCTAACCTCTACTTGGGGCTGGAGAGATTGCAGATCTCTTCTATTAAGGATAACCAGTATATAAAACTTTTTTTTTTTCCTGGTAGATGTAAAGCCAGCATGTTAATTTAAATAGTCTTGTTTATTTATTTATTTATTTATTTACTTCCTAAGGATTTTTGTAAGTAAAATGCCACCAGACGTGCACTGCAAGCAAGTGGCCCCTGATTGCCAGGGCAGGAGAAACCTGGTCTTGGGCTTTGCTGACCTTGTGTTATCAGAGGTGTCTGCTTCCCAGTGGAGGGAAGGCTACTGGAAGCAGAGACAGCTTTCCCTCTCCTGTTAGCAGGCCGTGACTGACAGACATATCTTACTACTTTAGCAAATGGCAGGCAAACATGGGGGAGAAACTCACCTGCCCACAGCTCACGTTATTGCTGCTCCACGTGCTGACAGAAGTGCTTGGGAATCCAACAAGTTTCCCAGAGAAGCGGCTGCTCATTGCTCCTGCTCCGCTTTTCCCTGCTCTGTGAGTCTTGCATAGGCTGGAGAGGCTGCTTGAGGCAGCCAGCGCTCTCCTTTGAGCCAGCGCTGTCGCTGGGGAATCTCCCTGTCCCTTCCTTGCTCCTCTATCGAAGCTGGCATGAGGACCTGCTCGTGGGAGTGGGCATGGGGGTGTCTGCTGTTTCACAGCTCTGCTCCTAGCTGGCCATGCAGGCCGGCGCAGAGGGAGATGGTGTAGGAACCTCCATGGGTGGGATTGACACGGCAGTGCGAGATGAGCAGTGCCAAACGCGCGGTTCTGGTGGAGCAGCATCCCTGCTCCTGGAGGGTCTGCTGCTCAAGGAGGTGGGTCAGTAGTAACTGCTTTAGTCTTGCTGTAGTCAGTAACATAACTGCTGTAGTCAGTGGGAACTGCTTTGTTTTGCCATGAACCGCAGCGTCTCACGCTCCTGTAAGTCTTTAGGGCAGCTGTGGTGAAAACAGCACACTTGTCACCACCTATGGAATTACTTTTCCCTAAATTCCCTAATATTTGTCCAGCCAGATCTGGATGAAGATAGCCCAGCAAACAGTTACTTGGAGATTCTCATCAGGCTCATTCTTGTCTAGGCTACTAAATCAAACTGATTTTCAGTACTACTTATGTTTTAACAAGAGATTAATTTTTATTACTTAATTTCTCTCTCTCAGATTTATTTTCTGGTCAGCTTAAATGTATTTTTTTGCCATATGATTCAAACTAAATTTCTTGATGTTTTACTTTTTTCCCCTTTCTAGCTCCCATTTATTTTCTGGCATTTTGCAGTAGGTATGACATGATATTTTTTATCAAGGGCAGAATTAGGATGTCACGTTTGCTGCATTTTGCTTTAAAAGCCTCAGTAATGTTAGCTAATACCCTGTATTCATCATTTCATTTGAGCAACTGTGTGCAGATGTTCGGAGACTGTCAGCTCTCAGTGGAATGCTTTTCCTGCAGCATTTTTTCTATATAAGTGGTTTATTACACAGCAATCATTCAAAGGGTGCACGGAGCACTGCGGAGTGATCCCAGTCGTCCCTTTCCTTTTCTTTAGTCATTTTAGACTAAATAAGTGTAAGGAGGAGGCTCTGTGCCTCTCAAATTCTACTGTGTTGGTCTGTGAAAGGGCTTACAGCATTGCTTACTGCAAAACTTTTCATCCTAGCAGCCAATTAATAAATGCATCTGAACCATGTTTTGAGCTAGATGGGACTCTCTGTGCGAGGAGGCAGTTCAGCCTATTCCCTGAAGGCTCTGGGCTGAAACAGGCAGGTCGAGATCTCTCCCTTTTGGCAAGAGTTGATCCTGTTGGCAAAACACCTGAGATTTCTTTTGGTCCATTGAGGCAAGAGCTGGGTCTTACCCTTGAAAGAGAAACAGAATCGTCCCCCTGGGAGCAGGTTTCGGTGCTGGAGAGGAGGCCCTGCGCTATCAAGGACGTGTACACCTACTGTGGGACACGTCATCCAGAGAGGACTCCATACAAGATGTTTCATGTGCAACTGGTACAGATGTGGCACAAAAATGCAGAGAACTATTTCACAGCAAAATAAATAATGTGACAGAAAAACCTTCATCTGTTTCATATCAATAGTGAGCACTGAGATGTACCTATAGAATTGTCAGTGCTGCCTAACACTGATCGCTTTCAAATTGAGTGCTTTAATGTGCTTTGTGTACATTTCCCTAGGACACAATAATGCCTTTTGGAGACACAGGAAATATCTAGATTTATAGCTACAATTGTTTAAATTTACCCTCATTCTTGAAAATCTCTGGAGGTAGCATTTCTTTTCTAAAATGATTTTTTAAAATTATTAGTGTGACGAGCGTTTTGCAACTGGAATTATTATCGAACAATAATAATATTGAGAAGTAGGTTGTATGTTACTTAGATAATAACTTTTCTTTTTTATTGCATGTGGATAGTTCTTTTTTTCCCATTATTAACTCCTACAAACGTAAAAGAGGAGTTGATACAATGCCATGTTTCGTAATCAAAGTCAGTGCTCATGTGTTCCTTTTCCCTGCTCTTTCCCATGTACTTGAATAAATGGTAGGTTTCTCTCTGGAGCATCAAAGGCACTAGGAAATCAAAATCTCTGCATGTGTGATATGAACGTGTCTTAAACTGCTCTTGCAGATTTTTTTTATTATTATTTTGCTTGTATTTGTCTGTCTTGGAGGTTCTGGCACTTGCAGGCAATTTGTGGGGAAGAATGGGAACTTGTGAAAAATCAGAACTCCCAAAAGAGATGGTACAAAATATCTTACATCAAGAAGAACATACACTTGTGTTCCTCTAGATGGGAAAGAGATCATGATATTCTGACAAGGAAGAAGAGAAACTCTGTGCTGCAGAAGGCGACCTTGGTCATCACTGGTATGAACATTTCACAGGCACTTATATTGTGTGTTTGTGATGGAACTGTCCTGTTTCTTGAAGACTTCTGGATACATAGCTGAAATGCAAGTCTGAATGTTAGTTTCTGAACTTGTATATACTTCTCTGTCACTGATCTCATAAAGGTCAGTAACATCCCTCTGCAGCCTCACAGACTCTGAATTCCAGCATTTGGAAGTCTCAACACCTCTCATTTAGCAGTCTCAGGGGCAGCTGTTGAATCTTTGCAGCCCTGATTCAGCTGAGCATCAAACTCTTCATGTGAAGGCTTTAGTCCTGTTTTCTATAGGACTGACCCATTCTCTATTCGAGTCAGTGGGCAGAGTCATGCAGCTGACGAGCGGGAGATTGGAAATGCAGTCTCACTTGTGTTGCTTTAACCTATCTATATCAATACCAAACATATCAATACCAAAGCTTAAATCAGGCAGCTACCTGTGAAACACTGAAAAAAAAAAAAACCCAGAACACAAATATTTTGAGCAGAAGACTACTGTAAACAGTGGGCATTGATTGCCTTCTGGATCAGTCCCATCCTGCAGTGACCAAGTGGTGAAAGCCTTGCCCCAGCAAGGGAGTCTGCAATCAGCTCTGGCGCTGTTCAGGAGCTCCATTTTAGCCATTATAGGTCAAAGGATAGATAAATTTTCAGTTTTTTTTTTCAAGTTTCTGTTTGGTTTCTGGGTTTCTGGTTGTTTTTGGCCCTCATTTTTTCTCACAAAGCATCCTGTGCTGGCTTTATCGAAGGCAGGATACTTC